GCCCAGGACCACCTCTTGCGGCGCACCCCGCCGGCGCCTCTGCTCCTCTTGCCTCCTCTGGGAAGGATAAACAGCCCCATGGAGCCCCCCAGCCTCCCTCAGGACTAACAGGCAGCACACATGGACACTAGGACATCCAGAGCCTGCCAGCTGCCCCCAAACAGGCTCTGCAGCCAGGAGCCCCCAGGACACAGGGCAGGAACCCACCTGCTCCCCTGTAGCCATCGTGGCCAGCACAGGCCCCTCAGCTGCCAGCAATTCTTAAGGGCCCACAGGCGGGCGGGACGAGCGGCCAGCCCCACCACACCTGGCCCTGTCCTGCCGGGAAGGGGCAGCGAGCCAGGAGGACACATGGGACCTGCTCCTCTGCTGCTGGGGAAAGGCAGGGATATGGATATGGATCTGGGAAGAGGGGGGTGAGATGGGGACAGTGTGCGATGGGGCGGAACAAGGATGGTAAGAGATAGGGCGAGGCGGGGTTGCTATGGAGGCAGAGCAGGATGGCATCAAAATGAGATGGGGAGCATGAGGTGAGGGCAGAATGGGATCAGATCAGGAATGGGATGGGGTGGAATGGGATGCAGAGGGGCTGGCCATCATAATGGGATGAAGACAGGGTGGGATGGAATGGAAACAGAATGGGATGAAAAGGGAGTGGGTGGGATCAGGATGCAATGCAAATGGTTGGTGTGGGAACAAGGTGGGATGGTACCCAAGGATGGAGGATCAGGATGGGATGGGCATGGGATGGGACTGGGAAGGGATGGGATACGGAGGAGATGGAACGTGCAGGAGATATAATGTGGAGGGGAGGGAATCGGGATTAGACGAGATCAGAACAGGATGGGACGGGACGGGCACAGGGCTGAGATCAGGCTGTGATGGTGGAAGGGATAGGATATGGGGAGGGGGTGAGATTAGGATAGCTTGCAACGGGGTGGGGACAGAACAGGATGTGATGGGGAAGGATGGGATATGGGGAAGGATCATGATGGGATCTGAGGGGATGGGAACAGGAATGCAGTGATGATGGGAAGGAGATGGGGAAGGGAAGGAATGGGGCAGAGGGGAGGATCAGAGCAGGCTACAGGGGGATGGGGACAGGTCGAGGCGGGAGCAGGACAGAGCGGTGCCCGTGGGAAGCCGCCCGCGATGCCCCCCCCCGGGTCCAGGGCCCCGCGTGGCGCC